ATTGTATTGCATTGTATCTGTCACCTCTGTTACCTTTTTGAGGACCCCCTCGAAAACGAGATGTTTCATCTCTAGGGGCTTATCCTCCAAATAAATAAATAAATAAATAAATATTCCTCATAATGCAAGACCATTTTTGATTTCACCACATTATAATAAAAACCTTCCCATATATTGCCCAGCTCTAACCGGGTCAAACCGGAGTGCTTATGCAGAAATATTGTGGTTATCTGCGTAAGATCCGGGGGTGATGTGTCCCGTGCTTGTGTCCCCCCCAGGAGCTCGGCATGTGTCGTGGTTTGGTAACTGTCCCGGTTACTATATAAGCATAAACGGCCGCTCCTTCTACTTCATGCTTGGCTGGTCCGTTGGGTGCATTCGGGCCACGCTGACGAGAGCCAAACTGACAGCTCTGTGCGGTCAAACAAGCAAAATCCGCAGAGAGAGAGAGGAAAGGGGAAAGTACTCCAAAGGAACAGTGATTACGGGTGAGGCAGGTTGACAGGTGACAATAGGACCAGAGCAGGACTAAACAGAACTAAAGGTTGTACACGTGGATCATGACCACAGCGAGGGATGGGGCTATGACCAGTGCATCAGTTGAAGGAGCTATACCCGTTTCTGCCAGGTTTTTTTCAGTTTGAATGTTTAGCACCACCCCCCAACTCGCTCACAGGCTGCTCATTTCCCCTACGCTCTCATCCCATCCCCCCAAGCCATCTAGTTTTATTTACGATCTGATACGTGTACAAATAATAGCATTAGCGCAACTTCTTGTCAGCTGTACAACAATCACTAATGACATGGTACAAAAGCAACGCACTGCTAACAAAATATATAACTGAAAGATCACCGCTAGTTTCGTGTCCAAATGTAGTCCGAGCAAAGATAGTCCGAGGCAGTCCCGCACCCGCAGGTCTCTCCAGAGGATACGATGTAAGCCAACGCTACGTATATTCACCCGGGCTTGATTTCTTTTTTTTTCACTTTTTCGCTTTAGTTCCCTCTTCTCTTCCTCCCTGTTGCGTCGTTTGGGCTGTTTTGCTGTGTCTGCAGTTACAGCCAGAGGAGTTAGCCACTTTCTGCCTCCATGCTGCTAGTGTTTCCCTGCGCTGTAGACGCTAGAGGAGGCGAACGAGCGTCACACTAAGTTTCTACTCTGCCCTTTTTATGGCCTGAGATCATACACAAGCTGAATCAATAAGCTCAATAAGTTTCAATTAAAGTACAGATTTGAATACAACTTGTATATAGTAATACGCATTTTTATGAACTAATTAGATAATAAATCGTGTATAGCTTCTTTAAGCCAGCGATAAGTGTAGCACATTACAATATTTAGAGAAGAAATATTGTGTATTGTCTTATATTCAAAATGATAGAGACTTTTTACATAGTCATTTGCATGTTTTAAAAAGAAAATATATGGTGGAACAAGTAACAAGAAGGGTAAAAAAAACTAGAGTCAAGCCTTTCGACAAAGGAGGCAGAGCTACATGTTAGTACCAGAAGTTCCTGATTAACTAACTATAATTTGAATTCTGTATATATCTGATTGGGGTGAAGTCAGTATCTCATCAATCACCAAACACACCGCATGTCACTGGAATCAGAGCTAACTAAGCTAAACCGAGACTCAACCATCAGAAGCCTATCGATCTGGACAAAACCAACCAAACTAGACTAAAACCTAAAATCCTCGAAAGTGAGTGAGTCTCAAACACACAGAGAAGAGAACAAAGCAAGTAAAGAACTGTCAAACTCAAATATCAAAAATCCCAAACGAAAGTTGTGACCAATTTCTGTAAACAACAACACAAAAAAGTATCCAAAAATCAATAACTCCTCTCCTGGTCCTTTTGTTTTTGTGTGTGGTGAAAAGAGCTGACAGCCCGGGTTCATTACTCAGGCTAATGCAAAGTTCCAAGTGACATTAGACCAGAACTAAACCAGGACTAAACTGGAACTAAACCAGAGGTAAGCCAGGACTAAACCATGGCTAAAGTAGGACTAAAGAAGGACTGAATCAAGGTATGAACCATGGCTAAACCAGAACCGCAGACCTCCCCCTAATGTATAGACCCCACAAGGTTTCTCACTTTGTGAAGGCTGCTAACTTGAGCTGTGGTCTGAGCAGAGACTGCAGGGCTTTTGAGGTTTTTGCTTATTTTGAGTAAAGGGGTTAAAGCACAGTGATGTGTGATGTACAGTAGGACTGAATACAGAGGGTTTTTTGATCAACATTAAGCTGGGGTACCAAATTTTAATAATAATAATGATAATTTTGATAATTGTGTTATTTATGAATCAAATCCAGGGTACCCCAGCTTTAAGATTTTAAACGCACAGCCATCAATTCTCTCATAATGCAGTCGCGTAGTTGTTTCATGTTGCGCAGTCTTTGAAACAAATACTGTATACCCATCCAGCCATTTTCTTCCCACTAATCCATTTCTCGGTCGGGCGGGTTGGAAGTCAGAGCTGCACCCAGTCCACATAGCACCAGACCCTCACTGATCCTCCTGCAGGTGGTGAGTCCACTGGAGCCTTGACTATTCAAATACTTTGTTTTAATTAGATTTTTTTTCTCCACATAAAAAATAGGACTAACCCGTTCCTAGACAATGTAATTTACATTCACTAGATAATATCCTGCTGATTATCCTCTGCAACATTCCCTAGCATTTTCTATTGCATAATTACACTCTTATGACAGATTTCTGCGTGGCCAAGTCAGCAAACAGTGATGATGCGGTAAAGCCAGGATCCATGGGTGTGCTAAATTTGTACCGTGTCTAAAAATAGCTCGTCTGGAGAGGATTCGTGCTCTCTGCTTGTGCTTAGCAACCAGGCTCCCATCTTCCAACGCGGCCAGTGCAATGATAACCTGCATACAGGATACTCTGCTCTTTTAGGCCAGCATTGTCATGTGGCGTATAAGAAAGAAGAGGAGAGAACACGTGTATTAATTAGCAGCGTAGCAAGAACCACAAGTGCTTTGGTGACGTGTGTATGAGAAACACAAAGGAGGAAACGCCATCTACTGGGTGACACGGGAAGTGCATGGGATTATGCATGGGATGAAAATGTAGAATTAGGATTGAAACGTTTCAAAAAAATATTAAACAGCAACCTAAAAGACAAATGTTGATATTAGATTTTAGATTTATGTTTATGATTTTATAGATTATGTTTAAAGGTCACATTTTACGCAGTGCTCTATAACTGGGTCAATCCCATATGCCTCAAGTAAATCAAATCTTGCACATTTTGTCCTTTTACAACCGTAACAAATATATTTAGTTACTTTGTTGTAGTCTGTCAGTAAATAAACAGAGACAACAAAGGGTAAAGTTTTCTTTAAAATAAATGACTGAAAAGCTATGCGTAAGTAATCATATAACAAGTCAATACTTTGTGGAATCTTGTTTTGCTGCAATCAGAGCAGCTAATATTTTGAGGTTTGACTCTATAAGCTTTTCTGCGTTATAGACTGAAAATTAGATGGACTTTCATTTTAATTCATCTGAACTTTGGCCACACGTCTAAACTCAACACAGATAATTTGTAAAAACTGTATTATTTTCCCTATGTCAAGGGCTGTTCAAGCTCTTAAATCACCCACCCATGCTTTGAACAGGGATCCACCTGCTGTGAGGAGACGTGGAGTAAAAGTGTGATTTAAGCTCCAGAAATGGGGAGAGGTAGCCTTCTTTAACCCTTCTGATGACCCTCTCCTCATGGACCGTATGTCGTGCAATTGACTGGGCTCTCAAGACATCCACCCCTGACATTTAAGCCTGCATGGACAAAAAGGCTAAGCGATGGACTCTCCAGGGTTCTAGCTCACCAGAAAATCTTTAGCATAAGCTCCATCTCTTGTGTTAGGAGCCGGTGATGCTGGAGTGACAGAAAATGTCCTTGCCTTCAAAAAGTGCTGACACAAATGTGAAAGCTTCAGGGGAACACAATGACAGCTTTGAATGTACAGTGTGGAAAATCCCTGAAGCAAAAGAGGAGGAGGGTGTGTGGCATTTCTTCTCTGTTCAGTCAAAAATTACCATATAGGGCAGTTTGCAACGAGTGCCAGTTGTCATCCAGATGGACGCAGATCCAAGCAAAGAACAAAAAGATGGATAATGTCTCTGTGTTCTCAGTAGTGCTCACTCATTAGCTAAACAAAAGCTACTGGAACCTAACTACCCATCCATCTCAAACATGGAAGTCTGCCTTTTATACTGGACGCCTCCCTGGGCCTTGGTACCAGTTGAAGACCCACACCACGTCGTGGGGACTCCGGAAGGCCTGGGAACATCTTGTGATTCCCCCAGATGAGCTGGAGGAAGTGTGTGTAGATGCGTAGAGTTCTGGGCATCTCTGCTCTGTCATTTCATGTTCTATAATTTTAAAAAATATAGCGTGAAACATGTATGAAGGGTAAAAAAAAGCTTTCCGTCTGGAGCTCCCTATGCTGCAAAAAGAGGGAAAAGTTTGCATTTTCTTTGTCTTTTTACTCAAAGGGGACAAAAAATTGATGGATGGATGAAAGGAGTGAACAGGAAAATCTCTTGTACTTTGCTTTTCCTCCATTAAAACTGGGGTGCCTAAATTTAGTTTTAATTAAGTATCGCAATTTGCTTTATTAGTTACCGCCTTGCAACATATGGAAAATTAGTTCATTGCTGTCTTGTTCTATCTTAAACTTGAAAGAAAGAGACCTGCTAGTGAATAATTGGAGATTAAGCCCACACCTTTCGAGAGCGAGTAACTGTAGTTATATAGATCTTTATTACATGGTTCATGTTTCTATGGTTTGAAAGTTTTAAGGACCTTTGAGAAGTCACCACTCCAGCAAACATATATGATCGTGACACATGCTTAACCCCACTTTATTACATGCATTATGGTCATCGAGACTGAAGGCAACGTGTACAATTCTGTGTTTTTGATTCACCAAAAATAATGTGACTATGAATAATATAGATCATAAAGTTTCTTACTTTTCTTAGCCTCTGGGGGAACATCTGGAGGTTGTTCAAACTTCAGCGTCTGTTTAAGGGCGTCTGTCGATATCTTTGTCCCGGAGAAGATTCCAGATGGAAACGAGCTCTGGGTTTTAAACTGGGTCTAGATAAAAGAAGTACATTACATATTATAAGAATAGCTTTTAAGCCATTCTCTAGCGTTACATAGTCTTTATTTCAGAACCTAAAATTAAATGTAATCCTAAACATGCATTCACTAAAAAACTGATCTGCTGTAAATGAAGTGAATAGGCTAATTTTTGTAGTCTCTGAACAAAGGAGTCCAGCACCGATCTAATGAGTGAAACCATTTAAATAGGTATTATAAATATTACTTGACAAGATTTAAACTTCCAAGAGGTTATACAGAATTGTAATGACGATGAATAGAAATGTTTCGATGTTATGTGCATTTGATAGCTTCTAGGAATCCTACTATTCTTGGACTGTTAAATTTCACCACGAATTATGGGTCATGTTGTCCGGCAGACTCAATTAATCTGTGTAATAACAATTATATTTAAACTATAATAACAACAACAACAAAACAAACACATTCTCACTAGGCATTCGTTAAGGCCACTAAAAACAAACACTATACTCAATCTGATGGGAGTCGATTTAGATGCCATTTTTATAAAAGAATTTGCTCATTATGAATACGATTGCAAACCTGAGGTGTAGCTGTAGCAGTGTCATCCTTCACTTCAGCAGCATTGGCATTTTGGATCCCCAGGAGGAGAACGGGAGGTTTGTCAGACAGAAGCCCGGGCAGAGGGGCCTGAGAGCGGGTACTTGGCTCATACTTTACCGCCTCCTGGTGCAACTTCTGTCGGACGTGTTTTATTTTACCTACCATTGTTATTACCGGCTATAAACGCTACGCAAACACACTCTCAACAACCTACTGACAAGAAAACAGAGGAACCACATGTGTTGTTGTCAATTACATAAACTCTGGGCTCGTTACTACCGGAAATGTAGTACGAGTGATATTTTCCCTTGCTAAAGTACGCATAGAAATATGAATAACGGATATATTATATTTTTAACATATGTATCAAAGTGTATATGAATTAATTTTAGAACATTGGCCCATGTTCTGGCAGAATTGTTGTCAAATCCATTATTTTAATGTGAAAAACATAAGGAAATGCGAGTGCTGTTAGTATTTAGCGTTGTTGGCTCAGCAGCTGGTCTAACGATGTTACACATTATTCTTCCGGAAGAATGCAGACGATGAAGAACCGTTCCGCTTCAACTGAAAGATTTCTTTTCAGTAAAACATTATGTCATAATTCTGTCTTTGTAAATCGTTTTTCTCTGGTATTTTCAACCACACTCAAACATATACAAGTAATAATCATTAATATTTATTGTTTTTCGTCGTTGCATATTAAAATCCCATTATATGACTAATAATAAAGACACTGACTGAGTCAACACTGTACATGAGATTTATACAAAAATAGACATATCAAAACACAATTACACGATGACTATGGATGAGAACATATGTACAACACTGCTCACAAAACAATGACACGTATAGTAATGGGTTATAATGAAGAAAATCAGTCATTTTCATATTAAACCGAAATATAATCCAATGTTACGTTGAAGCAAAAGCTACATAAATGCAAGTGCTTTTTCAAATGAATACTGAACGAGTGGTAACTAAACTGGTGGCACATTTGTTACACACAACACAATTCCACAATCACAAACAAATACAGTATGTAGCATATATAAATAATAATATATATTAAACTGTAATAAATAAAGAAAAGACATTCAAAGTCGGCTCCACAACATGCAAACACCACACATTTGGCAGCATTATTTTGCAACAATAAATCATATACTTGTACAAGAATAAACAGGATGGAAAGAAACGACAAAACATATCTGAATAATATTACTTGAGAATAAAATGGTTGTGAATATTTGTCTGTATGATGAATACTAAAAAGTAAAGAGAAATATAGGAAGTAAAGAGAAATACATAAACACAATTAAAACGTTCTCTGTGTTCATAACTGATTGAAACATGTGGAACAATCCATGGGAAAATTCTCTCTCGTACAACTCCTAACTGTATTTCACATAAGGAGTTTATGTTTGTAATTCAAGTCATTTAAAATTGTACACTATTCCTGTACTTTTCGCCAGGGCTAATGTAATCACTAGGGTTTTTCCATCTGTCTGTCTGTCCGTGTACTAAGGTACAAACAGACAACAGTTAGCAACACAATTCAAAATATTGCAACCAGATTATTTCAACATTTTCAGTAAAGGAACAAGAGATCTGATTTTGTAGGCGATCTGGATCCAAGAAACAAGATGGTCCAGGGTGACAAATGGCCTTTCTGAGTGGAGTTTGCATGTTCTCCCTGTGTCTTTGTAAGTATCCTCTGTGATTCCATTGTTATAATTGGCTCAAAACACTATACACACACCATAAACAATCGACTCTACTTCTCTTTTTAAAGTATAAAGTTGTGCATACTTAACCTTCACGTATCTTCTGTTGTGTGCTCCTCATTCCTATTGTTTTGTAACTTGTGATGCAGCACTGAAATTTCCCAACTGCAGGACAAATAGGTTTGTGTGTTTTTATCAAAGTAATAAACTTGTTAAAACTGGAAAAGCAGTCAGACTGACGTTTGCTTTTTTCTAAAATGCAAAAAATGCTATTATGAGTCACTGAAGCGTTCTATTTTAAAGTATATTTACATCTGCATGGGCTTCCTCTGGGTGCTCCGGTAATCCAAAGGTCTTAAAAGCATGTGCAATAGCCCCTGTATCTCCCCACTCCCCTCACACTTGCCTGGGGTAAGCACCCCCCTGAAAAAGAGATTTTGTAACTTCTTGACTTTATTGATTCAATGAAACTAAAATCAATATAAGGTCAATTAAACTAGAATAAAGTAATGTTTGTAGTTAGAGATGTTTAACTGCTCAAAAACCTGAGTTTTCATTGGTCGGCTCTCTTCTATGCAGATATGGCCTTGTGAGTCAGTTTGGTTTTCCGTATTGTAACATTAAGATTTGAGTAGTTCATTTGCAAAAACAGAAGTGTCACTATATAATTGTTTGAATGGCTTACAGTTTGCTCTTAACATAGTTTTAGGAAAAGCCAGAGCTATTTTGAGTGTCATGCAAATAAATTATCACCCCTTCTTGAGCAAATATTTTTAAATGTTCTATCAATTTACTATTTGTGTGGGCCTCCCTGAGGTTTCTTACTTTTTTCCTCCTGGGTTTTTGTGAGTTGTTACTTGCCAATGCAGAAGGGTCTAAGGACAGTGATGATCCGGGTCATTTAACGACAGTCATGGACATTGGTCTTTTGCCCCATGAATTTGCCCCATGTGTTTTTTTATCATTGCATTTCCTTAGTTTGATTCTCTGATCTGTGTTGGCAAATTGACAACTTTGTCTTGCGATGCAATTACTGTTATCACACTTAGGGCAATACAAAAATAAAATGTATTGAATTGAATTGAATAACCATTATAGGTAGAGGATTACAGCTTTTTGACACATTTTCCAAATGGATATATCTGTTTTTGCAAATACACATTTATAGTTTGCATTACATCAGTTTAAACATTTAAAACATTGATATAAGCTGCAGAAATGACGGTGAGTCCGTGCTCCTACAGTTGAGTGATGCGTACATGCACAAAAAGGGAGGAGGGGGGGATGCTGGTGCCGTCTTTGGAGAGCAGGTGAATGTGGCGGTAACCTGAGGACAACACAAAGGTTATTTTGCTGCCTGTTCCACACCTGCCTGCAGACGCTAACGAAGCTGACGCAAATACACGACCTGCACTCACACCTGCCGGGTAAATATAGAACCACAAGACTGATGCTGGAGCTGTTTTAGCCCAGCAGGAGAGCAGCAGGATGCGAGGGAAGAAACGCTGACTTTTGGAGTGGACGAATGCATAAAGTTGTTCTGTAATTGATTAGAGTCTGAGGAGCTGACGAAGATAATGGTGATAAAAATGAGGGGAAATGTAGTGATGGATGAGCAGGTGAAACTCAAAAAATTAGAATGTAATTCATCCATTCACACTGATAATTCAACTTACAATGCAGAACTTATGCATGAGACTCAATGCAGCAGAGTGGGATATATCAAGCCTTCCTTTGTTATAATGTTGATAATTGGCTCACAGCTAATTGCAACAAAGTAAAAGCTTGCTCCCATCAGCACCAATGATCAAATTTAACTCATGTATAACATTAAACATTATTGTATTATTAAATATAAATTTTTTTTTAATCCTATTTAATTATTATATTCAATATATATGATAAAAAATATATTATTAATATTTATAATTTTATCATGTATATGAGTATATGGTGATGACGTTATGATTAGTAAAGGCTGTGATTCTTAAATGCATAAAAGGCATCAAGGTAACAAGAATATACCTTAACATATTCATATTGCACATACACTGTATAAATCAAGTGCATATTATTGTGAATGTCACTGTTGCATAGTTGTAAATTTACCACTGACTAAGTTAAGCTGCAGCAACCACATAATGTGGGCGGCACGGTGGCTGAGTGGGTAGCACTCTCGCCTCTCAGCAAGAAGGTCCTGGGCCAGACCAGGGCCTTTCTGAGTGGAGTTTGCATGTTCTCCCCGTGTCTGTGTAGGTTTCCTCCGGGTACTCCGGTTTCCCCTATCACTAAAAATATGTACAATAGGTCTGGCATGCGCCTTCTGTTCGGCGACCCCGCTCCCATCTCTGTGAGGAGTGAGAGGACAAGTGCCCAAAAAAAATAATAACAATTGTAAACCGCTTTGTGACCCTTGTCTGTGAAAGGCGGTATATAAATAAACATTACTTACTTACTTACTAATTAAAGTCAAATGAAATTAGAATAATGAATGTGGGTGGGAGTTTAAAAGTCTTAACTTTAGAATTATCCTAGTATTGTACCTAATTGCAGGGTAAATGAAAAATCTCCCTGTTAAGTGACATCAACAGCTCTCAACATTTGCTCCAATTCATGCACATTTATAACTTATTTTCTATAGTCAAACTGTGGCTTTATGGATCAAAACTATAATTTTATTTTTTTTACTTATCAAACCTTATTCATAATCTGCATTTGAATTACAGGAGTCAAACTCCTCAGTAGAGCCTACCTTGTTGCATGCAGCTCAGTGGCAGCGTGTATTGTCCTACAAAGTCATTTTTTGAAGTCTTGTCGTAATCCTCCACCACAAACCGAACCAGGGCCAACTCCGGAACGTGAATGGTGAAGCGAAGGGTGTCGTACCAAACTGGGTTAAAACCTGCAAGAAAACAAGCAATACACACTCAGAATGAAAGCAAATTGAATGTAAAACATGTGAGAAAAGTGAATATTGTACCATTGTTTTCGATCCACCTGGTTTCCTGCTTGTTCTGGTCCTGAGGGACTCCGTGGATCTCTACTCGGACCAGAGGATCCACGATGGAACCCTCCTTTATGTTCACTTTGGGAAGCTGCTGGCCACTGATCACCTGCACAAGACACACGATCATCTTCTTTAAATACTTCAAACCCCAAAGCACAATGCAACAAAATACAAGGTCAGGAGAACAATGAGAAATGCTCAGAAGTCCCACGTGGGACAATACTTTGCATAATGACAGCATAACAAGCAGTTGTGGAGCCTCAAACTTAGCTTAGACTTAGTGTAGACCAGCCATTCCCAAACTCAGTAACACCGAGGCCCCCTTAAAAATCTGACGGGTCTGCGTGGCCCCCCAAAATAATAACCAAGAAGACAACATTAAGAATAGGCTCTTCTGGTTATTTTATTTTGGGGAAATAGCCTCTGCTACAAACATTGTAATACAAAAATGATTACAGTGGATTATTCAAGTCAAATAATGAACACAAATATTTTAATATTACAAACAAAACATTATAAATTTAACATTAAATAATCATATATATATATATATTTTTTATGACCTCCCGCGGCCCCCCTGCAGTACCCTCGCGGCCCACCAGGGGGCCGCGGACCCCACTTTGGGAGACACTGGTGTAGACCTTGTTTATACCAGGTTTATGCCTAGTTTAGACCTTGGGTAGACCTGGTTTAGACCTGTCATAGACCTGTCATAGACCTGTCATAGACCTGTCATAGACCTGTCAACTTTATAACAAAATCAATTGAAATAGTTTTTTGTTTGGTGGGAAGCTAATACAGATCCAAACAACACGCCAACAGATCCCACTGTTGTCCCGGGTCCACACAGGTCTCCAGTATGTTACCTGTATGGTGAGTATCAGGGGCTGGTATCCATCCAGTTTCTGTGGGTTGTCAGGATCAAACCTCTTCTCGGCGTCTCTCATGAACGCAGGCTTCAAGATGTAGCCGCAGCCGCCGTTCTGACTGAAGAGGCCGTCGTTCAGGTCCATGCCCTCTCCTGCCGTCTGGAAATTCAATGCAACTACAAGAAAGAGGGAAAAAAAGTTGGTTTAGACCTGGGTCAGACCTGGCTTAAACTTGATTTAAACATGGTTTTGACCAAAAATAAAAAAACATGGTTTTGACCTGTTTTGGACCTGTTTTAGACTTACCTGGTTTAGTCCAGAATTAGATCTGATTTAAAAGACATGATTTAGACCTGGTTTAGACCATGTTTAGATCTTTTTAGATCTAGTTTATACCTGTCTTAAACCAGCTAGACAATATTTAGGGTAGGCTGGTTTAGACCTGGGGTACATAATTTAGTCTTGTATTCACCAATTTGGCAGCCCACATTCCACATTTCTTGGGGGATGTAGTTGGAGGAGTCGGTTCTGAAGCCGCTGGGGTAAACACGGGTGAGCTGCCGGGCGTTATGCATCACAAACTCTGCCCCTGGAAAACAAACAGGCACCAGGGGTCAGTCTGTTCAGATATTAAAGCTGGGGTACCTAATTTTCAACACACAAACTTGGAGCTATGTATTTCAATCTATGACTAGTGTTCTACCTTTAGTTTTCACTAGTGAGTATTCTTGGCCTCTGTCAGATGTTTAGATCTGCTTTTTCAGACAGAAAAGTCAAAAAACCAATCAGCTATTTGTGGGGGAAAAAATTGCTCCCCCTGCTTTAAAAGTTTTGATAAAAGTGGGAGAATACATAATGTTACAAAAATTGACATTTAACACACAGTTGTGAAGAACATAATTGGACTGGAGAAGTCCCGCAGGAGAGTTAGGGTTAGAAGGAGATGAGGGGATGTATTTGTGCGAGAAGTTTCTGATATTAGTCTGGAATGTGTTTTTGACCAGGGAGCAATAGAATGACATGGTTATAAAAACAAACGGATAATTGGGCAAAATGTGTTTCCTTTAAAAAAGAAATAAAGACAAGAATTACTGTTATGTATGTATTTTATTGATAAAAGAGACATTATGTGTGCAATGTGTGACACCCTTTGTTTTAACTTTCTGATTCTGATTTTTATTGGTGAATAACAACTTTGTAAAGCCCTTAGAGATAACTGTTATTGTGATTTAGGAACTGACAAAAATTAATTGATATGAACATTTCACAGACTAATGATGGACCAAATGCAGAGGGTATAAACATATTTCTCTGCTCTCTCACCAGCCTCCTTGAGCTGCTTCCGGGCCTTGGACTCGGTGAAGGAGGCGACTTCGTAAAACTTGGAGTGGATCCTGGCGTGTTTGAAGCTACGGAAATGAACGCTCTTGCAGTAAACCACACAGTCCGACAGCTCTTTGGACAGACGCTGCTTCGACTTCTGCGGGAAAACACACAAGACACAAATACAACACAATGTGGCGGAGAGGAATATCATACACGCAAAAAGGGTTACAGCTGAAAATATGTAACGTCAGACCTCAACAAAAGATGAGGTTGTTGTTGTTGTGAAAAAGAATTTAGACCGGCTGTGTCAAACCTCTTCTTTCAACTCAAATCAGGTCAATGATCAGGCGTTCATTATGTAACCTCATTTACCCATGAATGTAGAAGTCAGTAAAAGTACAGATTCTAAAACACATTCTACAGGCAGCACGGTGGAGCAGTGGTTAGCGCTTGTCCAACACAGCAAGAAGGTCCAGGGTTCAATTCCACCTTCAGACCTTTCTGTGTGGAGTTTGCATGTTCTTCCCGTGTATGTGACTCTGTGCTTTTGCTTAGTAGGAATGATCCATGAGATTTATGGACAGTTGTCATCCCCTCCCTATGGACCAATGCCTCTATGTGTTTGTTATTATTGCATTTCCTGTGTTTGTAGTGTTTAATTTTGTGATTGGTTGTTGGCAAATCAACATTTCAGATTCAGATTCAGTTTTATTTGCCATTTGAGGTAAAAAAAACCCACATTGGAACACATTAGCAACAAGTCTCCAGTGTGCACAGACAAATACAGACATAAAACAACATTAAAAGACAAAAATAAAACAAATAAAACAGTAAACAAATGTCACTGTGAAATCGATCGACTAAAACAGTTTCAAAACAAGTGCAAATCATTAAAGTGCTCTGTTCACACTGATAACAGCTTGTGGATAAAAACTGTTTGCGTAGCGAGATGTCCTGCATCTCAGAGAGTGATATCTTCTGCCAGAGGGAAGAAGCTGGAACATGGCTTTTCCAGGGTGGCCAGAAGAGTCATTGACAATCCTCAGAGCTTTGTTTAAAAGTCTGGATTTATAAAGAACCGCCAGAAGAGGAAGCTCACAGCCCGCGGTCCTCTTTGCAGAGCGGAGCACCTTGTTTGAAGCTCTCTTTTTTTATCTGTGATGTTTCCAAACCACACAGACACAGAACCAACAAGTAAACTCTCAATGGTGCAGCGATAAAAGTTAAGCAGAATCTTAGAGTTAGTGGTTATTCTCTAAGTTTACGCAGAAAGTAGAGACGCTGACGAGCTTTCTTAAGGACTCGGTCAGTGTTTTTAACCCTTTTCAGGTCGTTAGACAGAGTTAAACCCAGAAACTTGCACTCCTCTACGATCTGCACCTGGGAGTTGTCGATTACGACAGGCAAATGAGAACTATTGCGACTGAAGTCGTAGACCAGTTCACATGTTTTGGATGCGTTCAACTGGAGGTTGTTAGTTTTACTCCACTGAACCACATTTTGTATCTCTGCTCTATAAGAGGATTCATCATTGTTACTGATGAGACCGATGATGGTGGTGTCATCAGCATATTTGATGATCAAGTTTGAGCCAGAGGAGGACACACAATCGTGAGTGTACAAAGTAAAAAGCAAAGGACTCAAAATACATCCCTGAGGAGAACCAGTGCTCACAGAAACAACATCAGAACTGCAAATGGCAAATAAATGAATTTGAATCTGAATCTGAGAACACTTAAACCGAGAGACATGAGCTTTTCAATCAGTTTACCTGGGACAAGGCAGTTAAAAGCAGAGCTATAATCGCTGAAAAGCATTCTCGCGACAGATTTACTAGTGTCCAAGTGACTGTAGACAGAGTTCAGAGCAAAGGAGATGGCATCCTCCACACTCCTGTTCTGTCTGTAAGCAAACTGGAGCGGGTCAACACTCACAGGGATCTGGCTCTGAGTGTTCTCTGGATTTTGGGCAGTACAAAAATATGTTGAATTGAATCCTAAAGAGAAATTGCTGATAAGGCGACTGTGACAGCAATTAACTGTGTCCCTGAACCTGGGGTGTTTGAAACAGGAGTGTTGGGTCTGGACTCTGTATCAGGTCTGGATCTGAGCCAGGGCCGAGACCCGATTCACCTCAGCAGATCAGGTGACTATGACTAACATGATGCAAACTGCCCTCAGTCTTCTTTATGCACTTAGATTACAGCATCAGTGACGGGACACCAACAGTGCAAAGCAAGTCCACCTTCGACTTTTTCATTTTATCCTAATAAACGCAAAAGGACATAAAGCTAGGGTCACAAACTTTCAGCTCTCTCAAAACAGGCTGGTTCCTCACTAGTTTTCACCTGCATGTATCTTTGGCCTCTAACACAACTTTTTTTTAGACAGAAGAGTGAAATAGAGAGAGCCACCCTCACTCAGCCATTCAGCTCTCAGCCCAAAGCATCAAATAGTGACTCACAGGGCTCTTTCTTAGCTTTCTTGAGCTCTGATGTCTTGAATGCAGGAAATTGTTTTGATTTTTTTACAAAACCATTTCTTCACTTTTTAACATGCACATTCAATGTTTTCACAATTCCTGTCTTTTGCACACCCTATTTATGCCAAATGTGACATACAAATTTCTCCATCGTGAGATCCATAAAGTTTATTTTATCGTATTACCTTGTAGAATGGTGAATTATTTAAACAATTCCATAGAAATTGTTAAGCCAACTCTCCTTTAAAGAGGAGTTTCCATCAGACGAGTTTGGTCACAGCTGAAACTTGAGCTTGTCTTGGTTTCCACATGTGATTTTATAGTGTCATTAGGAGCGGTGATTACAGAGTTCAATTATCTCACAGTGGGATCATATGTCGTCTCCACAGCTGCGCTCTATGCTCTACTGCAGAACAGGTCTTATAAAGACCACTTTTCAACACATGTAGCACAACTAATATTAAAACTGGGGTACCTGGAATTCAATCCACAATAATAATAATAAAATCTGTGTCATTAGTTTTCACATGTACAGTATGTATTTTTGGCCTCTGTCACAGCTTTAGATCACACTTTTCAGACCAAAATGTGACAAAGAGAGGACCATCCTCACTCGCCAATCAGCTCTCAGCCCAAATAAAAGGGCTCTGGTCTGAGGACAGTATTTTATTTTTTACAAGACTCTTTCTGTTGGTATAAACAACATGCAGTATTATAAGAAACAGTTAGGTACAGCGGCTTTAATGAAAAGTGCTTTCTTTGGAATTAAAAGATGATAAGAACACAATGCTTTATTTTTAATGAGCTGATAGAAATGCAAATGTTCATAAATGTGAAAACTATAGCGATGGAAGCAATCAGTTTTGAGAGCAAGGAAGTCGTTACATTAGTTTGAATTACAAATTATTATTGATGTGGAATGAAAATTACCTCAGATTTAATCACATTTTCGGAGGTTTATAACTTGTTTGAGTTTGCAGTCAGCAGTGTGGGACCAAAATAGAGAGTATATATATATAATTTTTGGCACATAAAATGAACTCTATAGACTCCTCCCTTTCAGCTCCAGAGGTTCCCCAGGTTCTCCCCGGTCCAGTGAAATCAGAGCTCTGTATTCAACACCGCAGTCTGCTCCAGGGGCCTCCATCATTTATGAGACCAGACACTGTACGCAACACCACTCCACACTTATCTTTAGGGACACTTCAGTACATATCTCTGCGTTCTTGTGGACATAAATATTAAATACCAGCTCCAATACCCTCTCTTATGCCAAAATAATAATCATGCTTTTCGACTTGCTAGATTTAAAGCTGGGGTACTTAATTTTCAAAGCACACAAGATGAAACTATGTAATAATAAAATCTAATTACTGGCTCTAAAACAGTTTGGTTCTGTGTATTTAGCCTTTGTCACATCTTTAGATCAGAATTTTCAAACAAAAAAGTGAAAAAGAGAGACCCATTCTGACTCAGCCAAACAGCTCTCAGCCCTAAGTGACAAATAGTGACTCACAAGGCTCTTTCTTACACAAAATTTGCAAGATGTGTACAAAGATGATGTGGTCTGAATTGTTCTCAATATAAGTTACATACCCCAGCTTTAATCACACAAACAAAGGAATACTATGGGGAGGTGTGTCTGTGGCAGATTTTGAATGAAGCAATTAATAGAATGATTTTAATAAATGGGAGTGTTTATATTTTGGGAAGTTAATCCGTCCAAAGCTGCTCTCTTTGTTAAAAAATGCACTTCCAGATTGATGAGCTAAAAATGTTGGATCAATTAGTCTCGAGTTGCCAGACCGTGGGGAGGAAGTGTCTCACATGTGAACAAACTTTCATGATATTAGAATTAGTTGAATTATAATGAGAAGACTTTATGCACACAGGTCAAAACCAGGTCTAAAACCGGTTCCAAACCAGGTCCAAACCAGGTCTAACCCATGTCTAACCCATGTCTAACCCAGGTCTAATTTAGGTCCAAACCAGGTCTAAACCAGGTCTAAACCAGGTCTAAAAAAGTTCAGTGAAAGTAACACATTGTGATAATCCATCCATCCATATATTTTCTTCCTCTTAAGCCATTTCTGGGAGTCGGGGGGGTGGCAGTCAGAGCTGCACCCAGTACACAGAGCACCAGCCCCTCACTGATCCTCTTGCAGGTGGTGAGTCCACAGGAACTGAGATCTTTCAGTGGGGGCTTCAGGCAAAGTGGGGTTAAGTGTCTTGCCCAAGGACTCAACGACAGCAGTCATCAGTGGGAGTCATGAAGTAGGTCTCATGGTGGGCTCGAACCCGCGACCGTCAGGCTCAAAGGCCAATGCTCTACCAACTGAGCCACTTATTGTGATAATATTAGACCACATTAGATCTTACTATAAAACGTGTTATATTTTGTGTGATATAGAGCCCTGTGAGTCATCTGAAATGTGTCAGAGACCAGAAATACAGGAAAAGTAGAGTTAGAACCAGTGTGAGCTAGATTTTAATACATAGTTATTTTTGTTGTTGGAAAGTCAGATACCCCAGCTTTAACTGAACACCCTCTTCCAAACTAAACAATGTAACACATCATCGTGACTCTCACCATTACCCGGCGGCGCAAGCTGTCTCGATGAATGCCTTCGTCATCCATTTCTGCTGCCTCGTCTTCATCACTGACCTCCGCAGTCAGAGAGTCCTCCCCCAGACCACAAAATCTCTCCTCCAGACCCCCCATCTTCTTGGCCTTCACCAGGATCTTCCCCCTCAGCTCCTACAACACAGTCCACAAGCAGACAATAGAGACTGGTCGGATTGGGGCTGTTCTCTGGTTGGAAAGTGTAAAGTAATGCAGTTGGTCCTATGTAAAAATTCTATAAAAAATAATAATAACAGAGCATTGGCCTCCGGGCCTGACGGTTGTGGGTTCAAGCCCACCATGAGACCGTCTTAACCGACTCCCACTGCTGTCGTTGTGTCCTTGGGCAAGAAACCCAATTTGCCTGAAGCCCCTGCTGAAAGATCAAGGCTGTGCTCTCACAGACAGAGCAGCCTCTTGTGGACTCACCACCTGCAGGAGGATCAGTGAGGGGCTTGTGCTCTGTGAATTGAGTGCAGCTCTGACTGCCACCCCCTGACCCAGAAATGGATTATGGGGAAGAAGATCGATGGATGGATGGTTTTATATTACACTTTCTTGACACTCAAGACGCTTCACATGTCATAATTGATTCACTCCATACATGGTGGTGACAAACTACTACTGTAGTCACAGCTCCCCTGGGGTACACTGACAGAAGCGAGCCAACCAGCTATCAGCCCCTCCAGCCACCACCAACTATTCACTTCCCCCATGTGGGTGAATGTCTTGCCTAAGGGCACAACGACAGTTTGGCATTTACAGTAACAGTCGCACCCATCCCACAGTGACACCTGGTGTTCCCAGAGGTCTCCCATCACAGTACTAACCAGGCCCTACCCTGCTCTGTTTCAGAGGTCTATCAGGATCTGGCAGAATTATATTTAATTCCATTGTAACAAACAGGAATGCCATTACCTATTTTACTCAAATTCCTAGTTTGTGACTTCTTGTTACATACAAGAGCAATAAAAATAATTTATTTTGAGAAAGCAAAGGAAGGTTTCTCACCCATCATCTGTACTGTGAGAAACCTTCCTTTGCTTTGACTAATCCCTGTACGACTGAGGGCTTACACAAACTTATTTTGAGAAAGTCACAAAAAATAGAAATTTGCTTTGGTGCAAGTTGCAAGAGTAAAAATACATATAAAGCATGAATGAAGAATCTTTGTAGAATGTTTTTAAAATTAGATGTTGAGACGGTGATGTTGTCGCTAAATGTCTTGTCGCTGTCCTTTCGCCCTCTGCAAACCGCTCGTCTATTGTGACCTGGGATAATGCAGATGGCGTACACTGGAGAGGTGCCGTGAGGACAGTGCACTCACGTGGGGGGAGGGCAGTCCAATGGGAGGCTTTCCATCCAGGGTGGTTTTCAGCAACTTGTCCCCCAGGATGTTAGCCAGGTGCTGGGCCATGACGCGCTGCTGCTCCACACTGCAGTGGTTCTCGATGGACATGATGACGGGGAAGGGCGACACCTGCAGAGGCACAGGGGACCAGGAGGTAACTTTACGCAACCACAATGAGAAACACAGGGAAACTGAAGCTGAAGCCGAGGCTGAGGCTTTAGCTCTGGCTGCGAGGAGCCAGGGGTCAGCGGGGCACGGGCTCCAGTTACACTGAGTCAGATTCAAGGAGACACATTCTGCCATATCTACTTTTTGGAGATTGTTATGATAGCGTTTTGTAGTGGAAATGTATACTTCAATATGTTGATCCAAGAGAGACAGCACTTTAAGATAAGCACTTATTATTTGTTATCCTGCATGGCCTTATTTTCAACTTCTAACTAACTACTTACCGACACTTTCCCTTGTCAAAATAGCTTGTCTTTTGTGCAATTTATAAAAAAAGAAAGAAAAACCAAAACAAACAATATAAGATACTTTGTGAAGTCAGAAAGGCGCAACACTTTCAGAGAAAGTGAACTTTTATAAGGACTTTTAACCGCTTTTATTTTGTGCATACATAAATACAAAAATACAATATTGTGAAAACTAGATATACATGTATACACAATAGTGATGGAACCAAACTGTGTATATTGGTCCTTGCTTTCAAACTGAAGGACTTGCTCTGAGCCAGTTCAATACCTGGCTTTTATGCTAAGAGCCGGTGGTCTGGTCATTTTCTGAAAAAAGTGATCTAAAGATGTGACAGAGCCCTAAAATACACAAATGTTTAAGGCTTAAATGTATCTCCGATGAGAACTAGTGACAGAAAGTGTTTTAGAGCCAGGAAGTAGTTTAAATGTAATAAATGATGCATGTAAAACTATCTTCCATGAATAGTCTCTGTTGCTGGCCTTTTGTCCTGTGTCACAAACTCGTGAACCTGGCATCTCTCGTCTCTGGCAGAGCGCCGTGGATATTATTGCCAGTTTTTAATCGCTTCATAAATTTAAAATCAGCCCAGAGTTTGTGACACGTGGCCTGGATCGACTTTCAGGCCAGTAAAGCACGACAACGAGGCCTGGCAAAGCTATGAAAGCATTTTGTATCAATGGGTGATGCGCATGAGTGCAAGTTAAAGCTGGGGTATGTAACATCTTTCTGATCAAATTCATGTTTTATCTTGAGTTAGGAAAAATACCACTACATATGTTTCTCTGAAAATGTCTTATTTTTACCACTTATAAAATCTTATTCCAAATAGAAGAGTTTTAGAAGTTTTAGAAGAAAAATCACTCCATCAATCAATATGTTGATTGATGGAGAAGAAGAATAAATATTAGGCACTTTTTTGGCTACTAATGTTAATAATGAGACTATTTACTTTGTCCTTTGATGTTTTAGAATATGAAATATTATCTCAAGTAAAAATTATATGGTGAAGTGGGCGGCACGGTGGCTAAGTGGATAGCACTCTCGCCTCTCAGCAAGAAGGTCCTGGATTCGAATCCCGGTCGGACCAGGGCCTTTCTGAGTGGAGTTTGCATGTTCTCCCCGTGTCTGCGTAGGTTTCCTCCGGGTACTCCGGTTTCCCCTACCACTAAAAATATGTCCAATAGTTCTGGCATGCGCCTCCTGTACTGGCCCCGCTCCCATCTGTGTGGATTGAGAGACAAATGCCCAAAATTAACAATTGTAAACCGCTTTGAGACTCAGATCTGCAGTGAAAAGGCGGTATATCAATAAAAACTTACTGAAGCAAGTATGAAGGGTATGCTTAATTTTCCAATTTCGAAAGTTTCAGACTGAACACACAGACGTGATCTCTGTGTAAACCCCGCTCTTTGAGCCGAAGCGATTTCTTACTTTGAGACTTCTCGTAACTCAAATGGCAATAAAATTTATTCTGATTCCTGCGCTGGTCTCTCTCTCTGCTCTTTCTCTTTGGTCTCTCTCTCTTGTCCCTCTCACTGATCTATCTCTTTGGTCTCTCTCTTTGGTCTCCCTCTCTGATCTCTCTCTCTCTCTAAAGTCCCTCTCTCTAGTCTCTCTCTCTCTGGTCTCCCTTTCTGGTCTCTCTCTCTGGTCTCTCGCTCTCTCTCTGGACTCTCACTCTGGTCTCTCCCTCTATAGTCTCTCTCTCTCTGGTCTCTCTCTCTGGACTCTCTCTGGTCTATCCCTCTATAGTCTCTATCTGTAGTCTCTCTCTGTCTGGTCTCTCTCTCTGGACTCTCTCTGGACTCTCTTTATTTTTTTTCTCTTTCTCTTTCTAGTTGCTCTCTGGTCTCTCTCTGGTCTCTCTCTCTATAGTCCCTCCCTCTAGTCTCTCTCTCTCTCTGGTCTCCATTTCTGGTCTCTCTCTCTCGTCCCTCTCACTGATCTCTCTCTCTATAGTCCCTCTCTCTAGTCTCTCTCTCTCTGGTCTCTCACTCTCTCTCTGGACTCTCTCTGGTCTCTCCCTCTATAGTCTCTCTCTAGTCTCTCTCTCTGTCTGGTCTCTCTCTCTGGACTCTCTCCGGTCTCTCTCTCTGGTCTATCCCTCTATAGTCTCTATATGTAGTCTCTCTCTCTCGGACTCTCTCTCTGGACTCTCTTTCTGGACTCTCTTTCTGGACTCTCTTTCTAGTCTCTCTCTGGTCTCTCTCTCTATAGTCCCTCTCTCTAGTCTCTCTCTCTCTCTCTCTGGTCTCTCTCTCTGGTCTCCCCCTCTGGTCTCTCTCTCTATAGTCCCTCTCTCTAGTCTCTCTCTCTCTCTGGTAAGTTTTTAAGTTAGTAAGTTTTTATTTATATACCGCCTTTTCACTGCAGATCTGAGTCTCAAAGCGGTTTACAATTGTTAATTTTGGGCATTTGTCTCTCACTCCACACAGAGATGGGAGCGGGGCCAGTACAGGAGGCACATGCCAGAACTATTGGGCATATTTTTAGTGGTAGGGGAAACCGGAGTACCCGGAGGAAACCTACGCAGACACGGGGAGAACATGCAAACTCCACTCAGAAAGGCCCTGGTCCGACCGGGATTCGAACCCAGGACCTTCTTGCTGAGAGGCGAGAGTGCTATCCACTCAGCCACCGTGCCGCCCAATGTATGGGCGGCACGGTGTAATGGTCTCCCTCTGTGGTCTCTCTCTCTCTAGTCTCTCTCTCTCTAGTCTCTCTCTCTCTAGTCTCTCCCTCTCTAGTCTCTCCCTCTGGACTCTTTCTCTTGACTCTTCTGTCATAGTGGTGCAATGGATGACATACAGGACTAAAGCAGGGGCTTTCAGACAGAAGGGTAGCGAGAAGTTGTTGATATTAGCATGGATGGGGCTAAAAACAACTGCCATTGTGTAACAGGACTTAAAGAGACAAAGCATTGCCTTTACTGTATAGCTGGGGTAACTTTGATAGAAATCAATTGTCTTTGCGGCAACAGAAATAGTCTCACAAAAGTAAAATGTTGTGAACAAACCAGACCACAACATGCTGACTTCATCTGATTAGAAATCGTAATGTGTTAAAGCATCCCCTGAGAGTCACTGTTTGACTCCTTGGGCAGAGAGCTGATTGGCAGAGTGGGGGGGTCCTCTCTTTTTTTTAAAAGTGACCTAAAAAGTGACCTAAAGTGTGCGGTTTGAAAGTTACCTACCCTCTGTTATTTCATTGTGATTAACCTACTGTAAGTGTTTAACGTGCTTTTTTTTAACGTATGCATTGTTTACAAAGGTCCCTGCTACAAAACAAAAGTTTAGTGACGAAACCTCCAAAATACCTCCAAATAAGTATTCCAAAATACTCGTTCACCTTAAAAGCGTATTTTCCCACAGCATTGACCACGTCTTTGAAGAGGATTTTGGAGGTGAAGGTGTGTCCGTGGTACACTATGGGTTCTCCGTTAGCTCCGTCCCAGCAGTCCACCTCCACGCAGCGGCAGCCCCGGTTTAGAGCCCTGACCAGAGGAGTAACAGAAGCAAACAGTGTACCCTCGCTGTGTGAAGGAGCAGTTCCGCAGTTCTTTCCTTCCAGCTGCTGTAAGACTGTACAACGAACAATGGGGACTAATGAACACGGCTGATCTGACCTCACATGTTGTCCATCTGTGCAAAAATATGAACCGTCAAAATGTGTTCACTAGTTATCAATGCAATCACTTGAATAATGTCCTTTGAATAATGTTGTATACAAACATTAAATTGCTTGCATTAGAATTCACACCAGAATTTTATACTTTATTTTGCTGGGAGAGAGATTGTATAATTACTTCTTTATTATGAGATTTTCGCTTAATTCTTGCTTCTTCATTTACCAAAGTTGTAGGTTTTATACTGCTTCTTTGTTACTCAAAACTTATAGATGTTATACTTGCTTCTTTATCATGCTAAAGTTAGAGATTTTATTTTATTTTAGTAAAGAGTTATTGTTTATTTTTCTTGCAGTTGTGTGCTCCTCATTCCTACTGTTCTGTAACCGGTGATGTAACACTGAAATCTCGCCGCTGTGGGAAAATAATCTACCAGAGAAGGAGGCCACTCTAAGACATTGCTCTAATACAGCCCTGTCCAAGATATCCAGTTTGAACCCCATGGTTTAGACACGCCTGGTAAGTTTGGAAATATATTTTGTAAGACTGGTTTTAAATGACCATAGTTGGCCTCCTTGCTGTCTTACCATCGCCGGTTTTGTTTCACTGCAATTTCAGAATGTCCATTGAACTTCACTTTATCTACTTATTATCCTGCCATATATGTATGCAATTTACACTATTGATATTTATTTGCTGCTCCTTTCACAGCGTTTACAGCTCATTAAGAAGAAGTATTACAGCTACTTGTATTCTATCTTATGTGTTCCTACGTATGTGCGCTGCAGCATAGAAAATTCCCCACTGTGGGACCTCTCTCGGTTATACATATTGAAATTCCTAGTTTCTTTCTTGGTGTCTGGATATTTCTTGTTTGCAGTAGCAGAGGAGCTAATGTGTAAATACAAAATGGGGTAAGATAAGACTCATTCTTATTCCCACTCCCATCATTAATTTTGTCACAGATAGGTTTTTTTATGTTTAATTACACTTGTGTCACTCCTGCGTTTGCATAAAATAGATAATTAAATACAATAAAATACACTTTTTATCAAAATAAATTAATTTGGTTGGTCTTATATGTGCCTAAGACAAAGCAAGGAGCGCATCACCAGTTCAAGGACGATAAAACATTCATTTTAAAACCACAATTCCAGTGCATTAAAGCTCTTATTCCAGCCTGAATGCTCCTGTTGCCTCCATGTCTTTACTTCTGGTTTATTAAATGGCGTATGGTCCCTGACGTCAGCACATTACAAAGCCACTGCCTCTCACATGAAATGAACTGCACAAATGAATGGACTGATTTTTTCTTTTTTACTGCGAAAGAGCTGGAGATACTCACACTCAATTTGTCCATTAGTAATTTACAGAAGGGAGGAGGGCTATTGCAGGAACTGTGCAGCGATGATTGATGCTTCAGTGTACAATATTAGACCAGCACAGCAGACACGGGTTTAAAAATACGACTTGAGTGGATTGCTTTCAAATTCTGACATAGTACAAGGGGAAATATTATGCAAAATGTGCTTTTAAAGTGTTCTGCTGTCACCCTCATACTTTAATTTGTGCTGACACTGGCATATTTGGGATTCAGATTTAAAGAGCCAGTACCCCAATTTCACTGAGTTAAAAAGTTCATTCATAACAATTTGTATACAATGTAAGTTCAGCTGCAATATTTTGGTTATATTTTTGTGCGATACCGTCATAGTACTTTCTCTGCTCTCTCTCTGCTCTCTCTCTCTCTGGTCTCTCCCTCTAGTCTCTCTCTCTTGTCTCAATTGTCTCTGTTTTTGGTCTTTCTCGCTGATCCCCCTTTCTGATCACTCTCCGATCTCTCCCTCTCTGTCCTCTCTCTGATCTCTCTCTCTCTGGCCTGTCTCTGGTCTTTCCTTCTCTGTCCTCTCTCTGGTCTCTCTGGTTCCTCTCTCTGGTCTCTCTTTCTTTCTCTTTTCTCACTTGTCTCTGTTTTTGGTCTTTCTCACTGATCCCTTTCTCTGATCCTTCTCTGATCTCTCCCTCTATGTCCTCTCTCTGATCTCTCTCTCCTCTCTCTGGTCTCTCTCTTTCTTTCTCTGGTCTTGCTCTGGCCTTAATCTGGTCTCTCTCTCTCTGTATGATCTCTCTCTCTGGCCTTTCCCTTTGATCACTCTCTCTCCCCAGTCTCTCTCTTTTCTTACCGGATGTATCCTTCCACGCTGCTGTGTCCGCGGAGCTGGTCTTCCATCAGGTAGGTGTTGTGAGAGGAGGAGATGAAGTAGTGGTTCAGCGGCTGCTCCATGTCCTGGTAAAGTCCTCTGCATCTGGGGTCAAAGATGTTCCCTTCCACTGACCCCAAGTACATCAGGAACCCATCAAAGCTCATGGCCTTCATCTGTTTGGCTAAAAACACAAGGAAAAGTCCGTTCATATTTGATAGAATAGTTTTGCATGTTTCCAGTATTAACCCATATCAGAGTGGGCTGACATACACAGGAATACATCTCTTGAAAAAAATAAGACAAAAATACCAGCCCCAAATAATTTGATTTCAAGTATTATGTACATTTTTAGAACAATTATCTTAAAATATAGCATAACATACTTATTTGATCTAAACAAGAAACATTAAAAACAACTCACTGCTCACTTTTTCTCCTCTAATAACATGATGAAATATAAATGACTATCTAAAAACTAGCAAAAAAATCTTACATCTTTCGAAGATTTTACTTTTTTTGTAGGGTTTGCCTTATTGTGAAAAGGTACCAATTGGAGGTAACTCAAACAGGTTATTTGGAAAGCTATGCACCTAAATTAGTGGGTAACAACCAAGCAACCAGCGAGCCAACCAGGAGCATAGCAGCTGCCCCCTCTTGCCCTACTCGCTATAGCTATGGGCAATGTTGGGGACAGAAGGCTCCTGATTGGTGTAGTTGTTAGGGCTCATATATGGTTTAACAAAGACAATATCAAAATAGAAACATGAGGAGTATAGAGAGCGTCAAACCTTGGCTTTTTAAAATTCAAAATGGTGAGTGGCACAAACGATTACTGAGAATTTACTTTTAAATGTAAATAGGAGTAGAAGATAGTTAACCCTTTAACATTCACATTCAGTATTTTTTCTCTTTTTTGGATTTTCTAAGAGGCAGCACCACAAATACATTTTCAATTATAGGCCTTTACAAAATGGTTGAGATGCAGTTTAATGGTGAAAGTGTTTAAAACCAAGTGAGATGCCCCAAAGAAGATAATACTAAAGTAGATACACTGTAGAAAAGTAATCTACCATTAAAGGGTTTAGATAGCCTTCAACATGCTACTGACAGAAAATTGATGGAATTTTGGCTCACTCCTCCTGACAGAAGAGATATAGCCGAGTCAGGTGTGTGAGCCTTCTCCTTCTCACACCAGTCAGCAAACATGGTGTCAATAATAATTTGCTAAAAGGAACAATATGTGATGTCTGCCCAGTCTTTTTCACTCAAACTTGAATAACTTGGCTTTGGTTTACTTCACAAAACTCATGGTAATATGTCAGATGAATGGCTTATGATTCTCATACGTGCTTTCACAAATCCGACTTATTAGGTTAACTATTTGTCATCTTTGCAACTTCCTTTGTACGTCTATGGACATTTTGATTGGATTAATGCATATGTTCAGGCTCTGCTTTATGCTTTTGAGCCTGTTCTTCCGGTCCACGCTGTCTCACCTGCATCAGACGGCTCGTACTTCAGCATGAGCTCCTGGGCCTGGCTCTGGGTGTCCTCTATCTGCAGCTGCTCGTCCTGGAGGAAGTCCTGGAGGTCCGTGAGGGAGAGCTTCTGTCCGTCTGTGGAGAACTCCTGGAAGACGCGGAGCAGGTCTCCGCGCTGCGTCAGCATCTTGTAGAACAGAACAAACTCGTCGTCCTCCAGAGAACCAGACTGAGACTTGTCTGCCATCTGAAGCCAGTGAGTGCATGTGGATATAAGGAGACAAAAAACAAACACATGTGGTTATCAAATCAGAATCATGGAGAGAGGACTGCTGTACTGCAAAGAGCGATGAAAAATAAGAAATACATTGAAAAAAGAAAAAAACTTCTAAAATTTGGTTAAATGAGACAAGATGAGAGATTAACTTTATTATCTCACAAATGTACTGTATCTTAATTTGAGCACATTCTGACAGCCTTGAAACAAGATTTGCCAGTGGGACAACCTAAAATTATCTTGTTTTAAAACAATGCAAAAAAAACGGATGGAATGAGTAAATAAAGCAACAGTTCTTGAAATAAGCCTAAATGCCTTTGTCCTATTGACAAATGCTAATTTTGGTACAGGAGAGGTCTGGAGGTCTTCAAAATATCATAGAAACCCTTCGATTCAAGCAATTATTACCTATTTTTTTTTTGTAATTTTTGCAGTATGTACTGTGATCTCAAAGTATTAAAAAAAATATCAATATCACTCAAAACTTATCTTATCACCCTCCATAAATAATACATGTTGTTTGTCCTAACAGTAAGTCTTATGAGTAAAATTGTTAAAAAGTAATATGTTATTCTCAATTTGATTCTGTCCTAGTAATGAAATAAAAACGTATAACATGAACGCAACCTATTAGAAATGTTTTAATCTTTTTTATGTATACTTGCGAGAAAGACCCTGTGAGTTGCTAGTAAACTATTTGGGCTGAGAGCCAAATAGATGAGTGAGGGTTTAAAAAAATAAAATGAAAAAATAAATTGGACAAAACTGAAATAAAGATGAGACAGAGGCCAAAAACAATATTTTTATAGATTATGGTTGTTATAATGTTTTAATAGGTACCCCAGCTATAAATGGTCAAAATATAACATATTTTTGCGGCAACAATACATCAATTTTCTTCCCCTTTATCCGTTGCCGGGTTAAACTCCCTGGGGAGAAAGTCAATCCTGACATAAGCTGGCATAAAGAGTACGTATATGGTTGTGTTTTGTGACTTTCTTCATGGATGGACCAGTGGTGTGATAAAAAACAAGTGGAACAGTTCAGCCCCACAGTGAGACTTACAGTGAAGAGGCGGTGCGCGTGGTGCTCGTTCATGTCCACGTTCATCATCTTCAGCAGGTCTCGAACTTCCCGAAAGTTCATCCTACCGTCGTGATTCTTATCGGCCTTTTTGAACCAGTCTCCGATCCACCTGAGGCTTTGATAAGGACCAGACACACCAGTAAGCATGGAACATCATCCCAATGGACATCACGGTTCTTCCTACTCTTGTCATTTCGTGACTGTCGGTGATAATGTTGCTTATACACTGGGTCCATAACATTATACTGCTCTGAGGGGAAGGAGTTTAAGTTGAAATTGATTAAATCCAGATATGAGCCATGAGAATTGACCAGTCTGGTGCCTTCATTTACGGGGAAACTCCTGCTTGCCTTAGAAACCATGTTAGCGACAGGTCTTCCCCGGTTACAACACAAAGCTAACACTGTCGGAACAAATCCCCATGAAAGGAAATCGTATCCGGCTAGCTCATGTTAAAATCAGCTTCTTCTGCATTAAAGTTAACACTACAGTCCACTTCAAAAGAGACAGGACTGACCTGACTTGGACAAAACCCAAACTCCATGGTCCCATGTAAAAACAGGGACTGGTGGATACGACCTGAGTTTGCACATAATACCAATGTCCCCATACATTATTTATCATAGTATAATAGAAAAGCCGTATCTCATAGTGTTCAAGCCCTGTGTGTGTTGAAAAGGATACTGGTCCAGTCTCTCTCTCTCCCCCATGTTCTCCACGTTCTCGATGAGCTTCCTCAGGCCTTTGATCCAGGACTGGGCCTCAGCCTCGGACTCAGCCACCAGGTCCAGGTTCCCACGGCGCCCCCTGAAGACCAGAGTGAAGCAGCGCTCTGGAGGAAACTCTTCTGCAATGGACAGGAGCACCTCGGACTGATGGCCCTCCCGCACGGCCTCCACATCGCTAACCGAGACTGAGAGAGAGAAACAAGATAACAAACATGAAACATTGTAAAAGAATGATTTACCTTCAGCTATGCAATGGATTATGCATTCAAGATGATCAAAAGATTCTACTGTTTTAATGTCACAATTACAATCAATGCACAATGTAATAAAATTCATACTTGCTCTTTGTCTGGTTCTACCCCATGCATGTATTTGGCAAAAGCTTTTCCAGACAGAAAAGTGAAAACCTGAATCAGCTCTTGACCAAAAGTGTCAATAGTGACTATCATGGGCCCTTTCTTGCTGTAATTTCTGAACTGTAAGTTGTTACTTTTTTCTAGTTCTTTAAACCCTGTGGCTTATATAGTGATGCAGCTATTATGTGCATTTTGACATGGAGACTCCATCAACATGAAGGTGAATGAGTCATGGAACCTAACTGTTAAGCTGTTAAACACTCATTAAATCCTGTTGTGACTAGTGACAGTCGACTATCTGCTACAGTACAACATGAAAACCTGCAGCTTATATTTGAGTTTGGCATGTATGTGAAAAAAAATAACTTTCCTTAAAAATTTGAGCGTTGTAGCTTATACATATGTGCGTTTTATAGTCCACAAAATATGGTATAAATAATGCATGTTTTCTAGTAAGATGAGGACAGCATGTGGCAGAATGCTTGTGTCGATGGAGTGATCTCACATGTGGAGTGTGCGTTGCCGGCCTTCTTGGACTGGTACCAGATGGTCATGCAGTCGTCCTGGAGCATGAAGTGTCGCTGCTTCTTCCAGGTGCGAGACTTGATCTTCCTCATCACCGTCCCGACCAGCATGGACTGGAGGTTCTCATCGCACTGGATCCCTGCTCAGAGACACACACAAACACACACACACACACACACACACACACACACACACACACACACACGCAAAAGAAAAGATGCACACAAAGACACATATAAAGAGACAGGGACATACAGACATAGAGGCACGGACACAGAAAGACGCACACAAATCTTGAGGGTGCATTTATGTCAGATCACAGCATCAGTGAAAATCTCATACATGACTTGAATTATATTATAAATATAATGATTCATATTACTGTTTTCATTATTACTGAAGAGAAGCCTCTGCACTTTGCAATGGGTTTGTTTAGGGTGCTGAATAAATAAAGATTACTTATTTATTTACTCAATGTAAAATGTCCCTGCCAACTAAATAAATGAATAGCCAGCTAAAAACTGAAATTCTCTTGGATTTAAAAGCACTGAATTGGTGATGATGTGTCAGTACTCACGGAGGGCGCTGCCTGTGAACGCCATTGGTCGTCTCCTCACAGGGCCATCTGCAAACAGGACAAACATCATATATGACTTAAACCTGTGTTTCCCAATCTGTGGTACAAATTAAATGGTCTCATATTGTTTGCATTTGGATTAAAAAAAAAAAAAAAATGCTTCTTTTCACCAGCTCTTTCACCATACTCTTTTTGAGTATATTTTTATATATTTTAAACAGTTTATTTTCATACTGATTCTTTATTAAAATAGAGACTTATTATATATATATATATATATATATATATATATATATATATATATATATATATATTTTGTGCTACTGTATACTCAATATTCACTTTCTCGCGCTGTGTGCTCCTCATTCCTACTGTTTTGAAATGTACCCTCTTTGGGACGAGTGAAGTATCTCTTTATCTTAATAACTGGTTGTGTATTGTAATGGTGTGATAAGGGTGTAATAATTTAAAGCTTTGAATGTTTATGATGGGGCAGTGGCTCAGTTGGAAGAGCATTGGCCTTCAGGTTTGAAACCCCACTTAAAAAGATGAGCAACTACTGATGAGAGGTAGACCTCAACTCTGAGAGACAAAATGAGGAAAAAAAATTAAGAACAGGTTCAGGGCTGTTTTTTGTCAAAGGAGCCAGGACAATTGTGCAAAGTAAAAAAGGGGCCATGAACCATGAGATTTTGAGTGAAAACCTCCTACCATCTGGAGCAAGTGCTTTCAGGTTGAAAGGTGGCTAGGTATGTCAACATGACAATCCCAAACACAGCTTCCCCGAGCAGATCAAGGTCCTGGAGTGGCCCAGCCAGTCTCCAGAATCAGAATCAGAACCATATTTATGGCCATGTAAGTAACAGGAAGTCACAGGAAATTGCTTTGGCTCGGTGCAACACTCAAGGAAGAGAGATAAAGAATAGAGTAAGGCATAACAAAAATCAGCATGCACTTCTAAGTTGTAAAAATGTAAATACAATTACTACAATTACTATGCACAATATACAAGAGCACATGGTGCACACAAAATGCAGTAAGCAGTGCAATAGTGACAGCAGTAAAGTGACATTATAAAGGGCAGTAAGTGGCTTCATAAAGGGTAGTAAAGTGACTTTAGAAAGGGCAGTAAATGGCTTTTTAAAGGGCAGTAAAGTGACTTCATGAAGGGCAGTAGAATGACTTAATAAATGACGAGGGACAAGGTTGTGAAGTCCAACAGCAGAGGGGAAGAAACTGTTCTTATGGCGGGAGGTTCTGGTACGAATGGACCAGGTCTCCTGCCTGAGGGGAGGTTGGAACAATCCATGTGCAGGTTGAGAGGGGTCGACTGTGATACGACCAGCCCGGCCTGGAGCACGGGTGTCGTAGAGGTCCTGCAGCGATGGGAGGTTGCGGCCGATCACCTTCTCAACAGAGCTCATGATGCGCTGTAGTCTCTGCTTGTCCCTGACTGTGGCTCCAGCAAACCACACGGTGATGGAAGAGGTGAGGATGGACTCGATTATGACTGTGTAGAACAGCACCGACTGTGCAGGCAGCTTGGCTTTTCTAAGCTGCCGCAGGAAGTACATCTTCGACTGGGCCTTCTTGATGAGGGAGCTAATCATCAGCTCCCACTTGAGGTCCTGGGTGATGGTGGTCCGCAAGAAAGGAAAGGACTCTACAGAGGCGATGGGGGAGTCCAACAGGGAGGGTGGGGGGCGGGAGAACTCTGTTCTTCCTGAAGTCTCCACTGTCTTCTGGGCGTTCAGCTCCAGGTTATCACCCAGGCCACCTCCCTCCTGTAGGCCGACTCGTTGTTGTTGGAGATGAGTCCAATGAAGGTGGTGTCGTCCGCGAACTTGATGAGCTTAATAGAGTTGTGGCTGGATGCAGTGGTTGGTGTACACGGAGAAGAGATCTCAACAGATCCCAACCCTAAAGAAAATCTTTAGAAAGAAGATGAAAGTCTGTGTTTCCCAGTGACAGCCCCAAAACAACACTGATCTAGAAGAGATCTGCATGGAGGAATTGGCCAAAATAACAGCAAGTGTGTGTGAAAACCTTGTTAAAGAAGCTATACCTGATTTTTTTTCTAAGTAGTTGATAAAAATGCTTATTACTACATACAAGTTGTATTATAATCCGTAATTTAATTGAAAACTTGAGGTCACTGATTCAGCTGTGTAAGAATTACAAGCAGTGAAAAGTGCTGAGTAGAGTCTGAGCGGGCCGCTCGGTCTCCTCCGCTCACAGAACGAGCAGCGAACAGCCTGCGTCCTCTAGCTTCTACAGAGCTGCTAAACACTAGGGCTTCGGCTTCGAAATTCGAATTTAATTCTAAAATTTAAAAAGCATGTATATTCGATCACATATTAGACAGCCCATACAATTCGAAATCAATAACTGCAAATAAAATAGTTAGCTCCCAAGGGTTCCACCGGGACGTGCTAGGCAGGTAACAGCTAAGCTAGCTAGCTCCCTCGAATTACATGTTAATAGTTAAATTTGTGTAAGCCCTCAGTCGTACAGGGATTAGTCAAAGCAAAGGAAGGTTTCTCACCCATGATCTGTACTTCTTAGCAGGTTTTCCCAACGTTTCGTCCTCAATCCAAAAGACTTCTTCAGGGAATGAACTTCTTCAGGGAATGAATTCTCAGACCGCACGTTGGAGAATTCATTCCCTGAAGAAGTCCTTTGGATTGAGGACGAAACGTCGGGAAAACCTGCTAAGAAGTACAGATGATGGGTGAGAAACCTTCCTTTGCTATGTTAATAGTTACTTCCGGGTTTTTTGCAATCGCTTTTTGTCACATTAAAATAGTAATTTGGTCATGAAAATGATAACAATAAATTCTGAAAAAGTCTGTGCATGTGTGTTAAGGATGTATATGTATACTGTATTGTCCGATTAACATTTAATGGTGTTGATTGAGATATATGTAGTTGATTATTGAGCGTGGCTGGCGTGGCTAGCTCCGCTAGCTTCTCTCGTTGTACTTGCGGAGTAGTGTTAGTATTTCACACACCTGAATTACAAACAGAGATTGCATTGTCAAAGGGCAGCGGTCATTATTGATTTGAGAGTTCTGTTATCAAGAAAAAATGATCGGTAGAATTGCATTCAAGTCAATGGAGTGCTGCTGCTGTGAGGAGCTGTATAATAAATTATAATTAAGGCAAGGCAAGGCAAGTTTATTTGTATAGCACAATTCATACACAAGGCAACTCAAAGTGCTGAACAAGATAGCATTAAAATCATAAATAATCACAGAACATTAAAAAGAAAGATAAAAATATAAAATCCCTCAGTTGTATGCACAGCTAAACAGCACCGTTTTTAACTTGGTTTTAAACATTGTCAGAGAGGAGGCCTGTCTCACATCTTCAGGAAGAATGTTCCAGATTTTAGCAGCATGAATCTGAAAAGCAGCCTCCCCATGTTTAGTTCTGACTCTGGGCACTAACAGGAGTCCAGTCCCTGTGCTCCTCAGAGTCCGGGCTGGTTCATATGGGACTAACATGTCACTAATATATTTTGGTGCGAGGCCATGGAGAGATTTGTACACAAGCAGAGCTGTTTTAAAGTCTATTCTCTGAGCCACAGGAAGCCAGTGCAGAGACCTGAGGACCGGACTAATATGGTCGTACTTCCTGGTTCTAGTCAGGACTCGAGCTGCTGCATTTTGAATGTACTGCAGCTGTTTTACAGCCTGTTTGGACAGACCTGTGAGCAGGCCATTGCAGTAGTCTAACCTACTGGAGACAAATGCATGGATAAGAATCTCCAGGTCTGCTTTAGACACTATGTTTTTGATCCTGGAAATGTTTTTTAGATGGTAAAAAGCTGCTGATGTTACTGATTTGATGTGGCTATTAAAATTTAAGTCTGAGTCCAGTATTACCCCTAGATTTCTGACCTTGTTTGAAGGTTTTAGGGAGAGAGACTGTAGATGACAGATTACGCTCTCTCTTTGTTTCTGGGGACCAAAGACAATCATTTCAGTTTTGTCTGCGTTTAGCTGAAGGAAGTTGTTTTGCATCCACTCACTGATCTGTTGGATACAGTGAAGGAGTGAGTCCACTGTTCCATGTTCTCCTGCAGTCAGTGAGACATAGATCTGAGTGTCGTCTGCATAGTTATGATAGGAAACTTCGTTTCTGCGTATTAACTGACCTAACGGCAGCATGTAGAGATTGAAAAGAAGAGGTCCCAGGATCGACCCCTCAAATATATTCTAATGTTAAATGAAGACATTCGAATGCGAAACTAGCAGTATTCTTTTACCTATATATTGTGTTAGTGCGTTGCTTTAGTACCATTTCATCTGTGATTGTTGTACGGCTTACAAGAAGTTGCGCTAATGTTAGCACACATGTCGGATCGCAAATTGAACTAGATGGCTCTGTGTTATGAGAGCGCAGGGGAAATGAGAAGCCATTGAGCGAGTTGGGGGGCGGTGCTAAACATTCAAACCTTGCAGAAACGGGTATAGCGCCTTTAAGACTTACAGAAAACATCTGTCATTGCCAACAAAGATTATTTAACTAAGTGTTGAGAATGACTTTTGTTATTGACCAAATACGTATTTTCCAGAATAATTTGCAAATAAATTCTTAAAAATGTGTTCTATTGTTAGCGTATTATATACTTCGCTTCTTGTGAGACTTGTGTAAGGCTTGGTCACCCTCATTACACAACTCGCTTTTAAACTTTGAGGTCTCTTCTGGACAGTCTTAAATGGCAGCGACACGTCCATCTCTGTTCCAGTCGCACCCAGACACTTCCACAGCTGCTCCATTATTCAGGCTCATCACGCTCTGTAGAGACTGGCATTAATGGTGTGGCTTTATCTGCTTTGTGCCTTTGTTCTAATCCAGCCCCAAATCCTGCCTGCTCCACCGCGGTTAACCGTTTCATTCATTATTAGAAATGCATTGGAGAGGTCAGAGTGAGTCAGGGGATAAACAGTAATACATACACTGCTACAGCGATGAAAAATAAGTCAGAAATTATTAAAATTTGGCAAAATATATCTTAAT